AGCTTTGTGATTTCCTTTTTAATTGATGCCTTCTTGTCGGGTAAGAATCGTCATAGCCGTTGCTTCATAGGCTTGGAGCCTTCATTGGTATCGATTCTGTGCTCAGCCAACTCTCTTGGGACACCTAGCATGTCGGCCGGCTTCCAAGCGAAGATATCTTTGTTGTCCCAAAGAAAGTTGGTGAGCGCGAGTTCCTATTTTACGGAAAGGTGGGCACTGATGGTTGCCGTTTTGGAGGGATCACCGGTGCCTAGGTCGATTTGCTTGACGTCGGCTTCTTTTGGTGGTGCGAGGATGCTGGGTTTTTTAGCCGGTATCTCTAGCTCTTCTGGGCTCATTTCTACTGCAATAGTGGCTATTTCTTTTCTACCATCGGCGGCTTGTACTTTTGCTGCAATTTAGATTGCCTGAACGTCGCAGTCAAAAGCGCGCTTCAAATCACTTCGAAGAGAAAGGACACTGTTAGGCCCTGGAATCTTAAGCAACAGGTACGGATAATGCGGTATTGCCATGAATTTTGCTAGTGCTAGGCGCCCGAGGATTGTGTGATATGATGAATCGAAGTCTGCAACTTCAAACTTGATGAACTCTGTACGGTAGTTCGAGGGAGTTCCAAAAGTAACCGGTAGAGTGATTTGTCCAAGTGGCATCGTTGCCTTGCTGGGTACTATGCCATAAAAAGGGGTGCTCGTTGGTGTAATCATCCCGACGAGTTGTAGTCCCATCTTACTTAGAGTTTCTGAAAAAATGATGTTGAGTCCGGCTCCCCCGTCGATTAGTACTTTTGTGATAGTCATACCGGCAATAGTTGGATCTAGAACCAGTGGATAATGGCCTGCATTCCCTATGCTAGTCCATTGGTCTTCTCTTGAAAACTGGATTGGATACTGTGACCAATTGAGATATCTTGGAGTAGCCGGTTCTGCTGCCATGATGGTTCGTAGAGCTAGCTTTTCTTGATGTTTGCTTCTAGAATCTGGGGCCCCGGTGAAGATCACTGCTACTGTCCCCCTGGATTTTTGGAATCCCTTGTCTTCGTGGTTGTCTTCTTCTTTTTTCTGATTGTCTTCTTTAGTGTTTCCCTTACTATCTTTTCTTACGTATCGATCATTGAAGGTGTAGCAATTTCCGATGGTGTGATTTCCTTTAGGGTGCAAGATGCAACACATGTTTTCAATGTCGTCATACTTTCTGGGTTTGGAAAACCTCCTTGATTTGTCAGTCACCGCTACGGTGTTGTCTGGCCCACGTTTTCTCTCCTGATGTCTGTTGTTTCGATGATTTTGCTTGTCCGGGTTGTCTCGGTTGTTTCTATCCGGGAACCTTTCTCGTGTCTTCTCCTCTGCAGTAATCATCTTTTCTACTGTGCGTCTGAATTCTTCATTGTTTCTCGGGTTTTCTTTGCAGAAGTCCTGAAATTGCCACCTAGCCATGATTCCGTGAGAGAAAGCTTCGATTACTTCTCGTTCGGTGATGTCATGTACTTGAGCACGTAGTTCGCCAAATCGTCGATAGTAATTTCTGAGGCTTTTCGCCCCCTTTCTGCTTGAGTCCTTTTAATTCTGCATGGGTGATGGGATGCGTAATAATACCCACGAAATTTCCACAGAAAGCTCTTTGCAAGTCCTCCCAGTTTCTGATTGATCCTAGATTCAATTTGTCAAACCATTAAAGGGGCATGGTTTCTAGGGCCATGGGAAAGAACAAGGTCTTGATATCATCGTCTCCTCCGGCTAGTTCAATCGATTGCGAGTAAATCCTGAGCCACTGCCTTGGTTCGGTCTTGCCATCATACTTAGAGTGGTTCGACGGCTTGAACTTGTGAGGTAGTCGTATTGAAGCAAGTCTGTTTGCAAAATAGAGGAATCTATCATGCGTTTTGGCTTCTTTGTATTCTGATTCAGCACCTCCTTCCAGTCAACTGTTGTTTTGGTGAGAGTAGTTCTGCGGGGCTGTCTGAATGGGTGCTTCGCTTCTGATCTGTCTTGGTTGTTCGACTCGGTAGTTTTGACGGTGGTCCCTTTTACTTTCTCTGTTGTGACTTCCACTCGGTCCAAGTCTCTCGAAAGCGGACTTCCTTTAGTTTTGATCTTCCTTCCTATGGGATGTTGACCTGGCAGGTAGTCTTGAACGGGTTTTTCTGTCGTGCGTCCTTAGGACTGTTGACCGGATAAAGTCCCGGAGCTATTCTTGTTTTTCACTGGGATGTGAGGTCGCTCTGAGTTCTTCTATTGCTTCTCGGATCTTATCGTAGGGTGTATTCGCCGTGCGTCCTTCTTTGACTTCTCGTTCTGATTTTCTTCTATTGTACTTGGCTAGATCTGACTCATATCTGATCCAAGCTTCCTTACGTTGCCTAGCACGGTGTTGGCGTCCTTGTTTCAACTTGTTTTTTCTTTCCCTGGCTTGCTTCTGATTCTCGGTCTCACCATCGTGCCCCTAGGTAAAGGGTGATATGTTGGACTCAGATTCATCCGATGACCTGACGTCGGGTACTTCTGGGGGGACCAATGGTGATCGAGGACGACGAACCATGAATACTTCTCGTGCGTGAATTGTTCCGCTATCAGCGTCGGTTTCCACACTGTCGGAGTAGTTGATAACCTTAGTAGAGGCTTCGAGGTCACAGATCGAGTCTCCTTCTTGGTAGGGTAGAATTGTTGTTGTCGTTGTGCCGACTAGTTGGGTACCGCTATCCTCAGGAACAGAACCTGGTCAGTGGACGATGCAGTCTTAAGATGTTATAGTTAGTACGAGACCTTCCTGAGCTCCTTTCAGTGGCATTCTAAGCACCGGATCAAGGGATCCTTCGGGCCGTGTGTCGATAAGATGTTGCCATGTTGTGGAGTCCAAACGGAAAAGGACCCGACTTCTTGAAAAGACTCTGAGTGTACTCCGAGTTGTATTCTTGATAGGTCAAGGCCGCGTTCTTAAGCCCCATTGGAAAAGAACTCGGTTTCTCAGAAGAACTCGGGTAAGACTTCATTTCGGATGCGGAACCTGAGTTTGAGTCGGATGCGCAAAGTCGCGAAATCTGAGTTGGATCGGACATCGCGAGCTGCGCGAATCTTCTAGCGAGTTGATCTTTCGTAGTCGCCGAAATAGAATGGTCTTCATGGTGATCCGAATCTTCGAGGAGATGGCTTTGGAGCTTGCCATTGTCACCTGCCTCGCAGATCCATGAACCGAAGATGAAGGTTGATCCCGTCGAGAAGATTATGTTGTCGAGGTCCGTCGAGCTCTTGGATGCAAATTCACCGAAAACCCCTACCTGGCGCGTCAGCTGTCGATGTTTGACCACCGATAGCTTGCCACAGGGGTACCCGGGGCAGTATGTTCGGGCTTCAGCGTATGCGGAACTCGACGGTAAACGCAAGAGACAGTCGATTTATCCTGTTTCGGGCCCTCGATCGTTGATCGAGTAATAGTCCTACGTCCAGTCGGCGTTAGCCTTTGCGTTGGATTGATTGTCAAGTGTTGTGTTGTCAAAGTCCCCTCTCTAGGAACCCTGCCCTCCTTTATATAGTCAGGAGGTCAAAATCTTAGTCGGTTTATAATGAGAGTTTCTAGTAGGATTACAGAATACTACTACTAAGATTACATGGGAAGAATCATAGTTAGACTAGATCTTCTCCTTTTCTTGCGGGGTATCCCGTGGGTCCCGCACCGACAGTGTGGACCAATGCAAGGCCCTTGGTTAGACACAATAACGTCACATAGAGGGCTCTACGCCTCCTTCACATAATTCAGATCCTTGGATGTGTCCTCAAGTGCCCATGTCCATCAAGCTTAGGTACATGTGCCAATTTCTACGTGATAAACATTTGGGAGCATGTCTGATTATGCGTTTGTGGTCATTGGTGGCTTGCTGGGTTCCTCCAACCGCTTCCAAAATCTCTGTCCTAAAAGATAGAAGATAATTTGTATCAGAAATCTCGGACTATTTTCAAATCATCGCAGCCACTTTTATGGATTATTTCTCTTTTGTGCATTTGCGTTGGAACCGTATCCTTACAAAGGATAGGATATAAAACAAAACAATGCGTGTAATATTTTGGAGTTGCGTTGCGGTTGCACGTCCGGTCAGATTCCAACGAACAATCAGCCTGTTCGTCGGGTGGTTTCTCGGTTAATAAGCTCGGCTGATACTGATTTGTTGTAAGAGAAAAATATTATTGATCGACTAATAAGCTCTAGCTGAAACCAACGAACGAACACGGGCTGAATGACAGCAGTTACCGCTGCCCACAGGAACAGGACGGCTAGTCGACAAGTCGACCGTGCACAAAAGTAGCAGTTATACACTGCACTCCAATCCACTACCTGCAGTTTTCTTTTTTGGGTAAAAAAAAACGTACTACCTGATGCTGCTGATCCACCAGCTAGCGTCCAAAACGAACAGTACTATTACTCCCTAGCTAGCTTGTCGGTACGCCAGGTGAGGAAACAGCCTCCCCTGGTCCTCCAAGGCTGGATCCTGTATTCCCGTGCGCCGGGAGCCGTACGTGCGAGAATAGGAATAGCAGGCAGGCAGGCAGGTTGGTTGGCTCTTGCATTGGAGGCAGGCAGGCGTACGTCGGGGGCCCGCTGCCCGGCCGCGGGGACCGGAGGAGGTCTCGTCGTCCCAACCGAGGCCGCCGCCGTCGCCGTGGCTGTGCCGCCGTCACCCTCCCCTTCCTCCTCGTGACGGACGTGCCCGGCAACAAGCTGGTTGTGCGATTCCAAACACACGTTGCTCTGCACAACGAATGAACACATGACCATGCATTTGGAGCTCGTCGAATTTCACCCAATTTTGGGTTTGCAAATATTCTTTCGATTCTGTCCTCCCTTTGCATAATTGCGTTGCTCTCATCATCATCATCTGGTTCGTTCCCCAAGCAGATTACATACATGTGCCTACATCAGCAGACGCAGAGAGATCACGAAGATCCATCTCCATCCGTCGCATGCAGCCGGAGGCAAGCTCCGATCCAGTTCCAAACCGGCCAATCGGCACCATGTCCTCCAATGACGACCCCACGCCGTCGCACGCCGCGAGACGCCTGTCGACATCGCACGGCGGCGGTAGCCATGGACACGGCGCGGCAGCGGCGTCGCAGGTCGCCGTCGCGGCGGCCGGCGGCGCGGCGCTGCTCCTCGTCGTCCTCGTCATTGCCTGCTGCTGCTGCTGCTGCAGGAGGAGGAGGAGGAAGAGGGACGCGGCGCAGCAGCAGCATCAGCGGCCGCCGCCTCACGGCGGGATGAGGTTCTACGCCGACTCCTCCGGCTTCAAAGGTGAGACGCCGGCCGCGCGCCATTGCTGGGCCTGGCCATGGATCTTTCATTTGACCATGGCAGCTGCCAGCTGTAATGCAATGCAATAACCGATGGCATGCATGCGCGCGCAGGGAACACCTCGGGGTACTACTTGTCGAGCGGCGTTCGGCCGCCGCCGCAGCGGCAGAACGGCCAGGTGGGTCCGGCGCCACCGACGACGGCGACCACGCCGGGCACGACGACGGGGCATCACGGCGGTCCGCTGCTGCCGCCGCCACCTCTACCGATGCCCGCGGACACGGCGGCGTTCAGCTACGAGGAGCTGGTGCTGGCGACGGGCGGGTTCTCGGAGGCGAACCTGCTGGGGCAGGGCGGGTTCGGGTACGTGCACCACGGCGTGCTCTCGGACGGGAAGGAGGTGGCGGTGAAGCAGCTCAAGGCCGGGAGCGGGCAGGGCGAGCGCGAGTTCCAGGCGGAGGTGGACACCATCAGCCGCGTGCACCACCGCCACCTCGTCGCGCTCGTCGGCTACTGCATCGACGGCGCGCGCCGGCTGCTCGTCTACGAGTTCGTGCCCAACCACACCCTCGAGCACCACCTCCATGGGAAAGGCCTGCCGGTGATGGAGTGGACGACGCGGCTGCGCATCGCGATCGGCGCCGCCAAGGGCCTCGCCTACCTGCACGAGGAATGCGACCCTCGGATCATCCACCGCGACATCAAGTCCGCCAACATCCTGCTGGACGACGACTTCGAGGCCATGGTCGCCGACTTCGGGCTGGCCAAACTCACCAGCGTCAACCACACGCACGTCTCCACCCGCGTCATGGGCACCTTCGGCTACCTGGCGCCGGAGTACGCGTCCAGCGGCAAGCTCACCGAGAAGTCCGACGTCTTCTCCTACGGCGTCATGCTGCTCGAGCTCCTCACCGGCCGCCGCCCCGGCGACCGTTCCTCCTACGGCCAGGACGGCCTCGTCGACTGGGTACGTACGTAATAATAGCAAGAAAGCATGATAGATGTGTGTCTTCATCGTCGTCTGACCGACCTGTGGCACGACACGACGGCGTGCATGCAGGCGAGGCAGGCCCTGCCGCGAGCGCTGGCGGACGGCAACTACGACGAGATCGTGGACCCCAGGCTGCGGGGCGACTACGACCCGACGGAGGCCGCGCGCCTCGTCGCCAGCGCCGCCGCCTCGGTGCGCCACGCCGCGCGCCGCCGCCCCAAGATGAGCCAGATCGTCATGGCGCTGCAGGGGGCCATGCCGCTGGAGGAGCTCAACGACGGGGTGCGCCCGGGCCACGGCGCCGCGTTCGGATCCGGCTCGGGGTCGGGGTCCGCCGGCTCGTCGGGCTCCGACTACGGCGGGTCTGGATCGTCGTACACGGCGCAGATGGAGCGGATCAGGCGGGCGGCGCTGCCCAGCCCGGAGTACAGCGCCGACTACCCCGGTTCCATCCCGGAGTTCGCCCATCCGTCGCCGGCCAGCAGCGCCAGCTCCGTCGAGCGGGAGGACCGGCGGCATCGGGGAGGCCGCCGGTGAGTGACAGCTGACAGGTGTGGGCCTGCCACAGGTACAACTGGTCGTGCAGCGCGTTAGGCTTACCGAGATGTATTGACTCCTGCTCATGCCTTGTCACCTGGGTTTTCTCTGTGTACATGGTCTTCTTCATATAAGTTTGTGACCTATGCTTCTTTGTGTTAAAACATGCCTGAATTTTAGCTTTCTTCTAAGTCACAAAAAATAGCTTTCTTCCGTTATTACATATATTTTATATTAAAATTATAGCTTTAATTATTGTAATTTATGTAGACAATAATCTGTAATTTTTTAGTTAGACAAAAGCATAAACTTGACAAAATCTAAGCTATAGTGAATGTTTACATCAAAATTTAAGAAGAAGAACGCGGGAACTCGAAGCTTCTAAGATTGTGCCGATCAAGGAATTGATTGCACAAGAATCGATATCAGCTGATTCAGATGCAATACTGAAATCGGCTCTCCCTGAATGACGTCAGCAGATAACAATAATGAGCTACGGTTGACGTTGGAAAATACAAGTTGGACTCTACAAAAAGTAAAAGATTAGGCTCCAAATTATCTTAAGATATGAATGTTTTCTTTTATACCAAAGATTGTAATGAGTCGTACTTGAGTAGGATTCATGCTTAGGTTCCGGGTATAAATATTGGACTCCGGCTATTGTAAAGGACATCCAATCAATCAAATACAAGTTATTTACTTTTTCAGCTCCGTGCCAACCCTTAGGAGTAGGAGTAGAGTAGATCTCGATGAGTTCTTCAGCAAGCAGGGCTGCATCGGTCCGGCCGACCTCCAGCTTGTCTGTAAGTACCGTCATGGCTTATACTTCTGTTTGTATGGCTGCATCGATCCGATCGACCTCCACTGCGAACTCTAGTATAAGCTAGTTATCGACTCTTATCTAGTTTAAGTACAGTTGCATCGATCCGGTCGACCTCCACTGCTCGAATTAGATTAAGGTCAAGTTATCGGCTCTACCTAAGAGTGGCAATCTTTGGTAGATTCATTAAGTTATCGATCTTACTGATATTCTTATTGTCATTAGTTTACAGCAACATCAACCTGCCCCGTCGAGATCAATTTAGATCGGCCTCATATCATTTTAGTCCGTCGTTCGCTTTGTTACAATACGATGTTTCTTACTTGGAGTCACGAGTTATGTTTTATCGGCTGCTCTATTTCGATCTTGATCGTGCATAGTACGTGGTTAAGGCACGTATGATCTTAAAGAGGTTTGCTAGCTAGTTAAATCTGGTCTACGGTCCACTATTATGGTTGTAACGATCCGGTCGATCCCCACTGATAGCACTTTATATTGGAGGATGCTAGTTAGTAGATCTATTCTTGATTAGGCGTGACCTTAACTGTTTGCTATGCCTACATCGGCTAAATAGCCGATCGCCTATGTGTTAACGTCTATAGTGTGGTTACATGATTATGTTAAGGGTGAATAGATCTGTTTACTTTAAAGGTTTGATTTATTGTCTTTATCATGGCTGCATCGATCCGATCGAACCCCACTGTTAGAGATAGCAGGTTAGGTCTAATGAGTTCATAGATTTGTCCACGTGAAAATAGTCAATTGTTCACACGCTGTAGTCCCTTTTCACCTGAATCGACTATTTTTGTCGATTCATCCGAGCATTCATGTATAACATGTCTTTCGAAAAGTCTGTCGAAGTATAGATGGTTTTACGAATTCTTCTGTTTTAGTTTGTTATTATCATCATAGCTGCCATCGATTCGGTCGAACCTCACTATTGATAGTAACATATTAGATTCAAAGCGTTTGTAGACCCATTTGTATTAGACAGTCGATTTGTTCGCGTGCTATATCTTTTCTCGATTAGATTCATCGGCTCAATGCTTTATACTGGTAATATCTATTTAGCTGATGATCTCACTTACATCTACGTGTATTGTACCTGTCAATATAAAATTAATCGCTACCCACGAGCTTTATAGTCCGTAACAGCCGATTTCTGTGCGTATCGGCTATTTAGGCAATTTTTCCGTCTGGCTGCTCCCGGAGTGGCACACTTGGAACTGTCTGGGTAAAGACTGACATGTTCCACCTTAAATTACTGATAAACTTTCTCTTTTTATCAATTACAGGGTCAAATTAACTGGCACGTCTTGGGAGAAATTCGCAGGATTGGTTACACCTGCGTTGAAGCCAAGCGGATCTCTAGCTCCATCAAGCAGATCCTTCTGGCTTGCCGTGTGTCGACGCATTTTCGTGCCGACACACGTTTTGGCACGCTCGGTGAGACCCCACAATCGTCATGGTGGCTTACAACAACAATGACATCCTTATGGTGCCTTATGAAGACTTACCTGATGGAGATAAAGATGTCATTAGTAAAACTATAGAAGAATTTCAGAACAAGTATTTGTTGTCCTACACCAAGACACGTGATAATACAATTGTTTAGAAATATCCACTACCGAGAGTTCTGTTACATGGGCAGACAGATGCAGATGAAGCTAAAGACAGGCGTTTCTTCGTAGAAGCTATAAACAAGTCTGTTCATGATGACATGTCGAATCATAATGAAGTTTTCTTGAATACATTCCACAACACCATGAAAGAGGTGTTTCATGTGTTTCTAGTTGATCAGGTTGGACCGGCTTATTACAACATTCCACATTCGTTGACTTAGGGGACTAATCAAGCCAGTACTAGCCATCAAGAAACAGCATCAGCTGGTAATGATGATGTCCAGGTGGTTCAGAGCTCATTTGAGCAAGTTCAGGGTGCTAATACTAATCAGATACAGTATAATCCTGGATCGTCAGAACAGCATGTGCCACAGCTGACAGGGCAAGTTCGGAATCAAATGGTTAATTTTGGCATATCAGGCTAGATACCATCGTCGGCTCAAAAAACAGTGCCATTAGTTCAAAGGATTCGTAGAGATATAGATCCTAACATCTACAACTAGAGACTTCAAGCAACAAACCAGCAGAAGACCCAGCAGATAGAGATTTCACAAGGGTATCATTATGGCACAGATTACAACACCCTTCACATGATTCCAAATCCAGGGTATCAAGGTACCCGAAATTTTAATCCATAGATGGGTCAACAATTACAGAGTAATCCAAATTCAAATGTCGATGAGTTGTTGCTTAGAGTGACCGAGATGATGAAGAATCAGTTCAGTTTGAAGCTAAAAGGGTAGACCTTCTCGTACAAACGTCCATATCCAGAATGGTATGATTTGGTCGCTCTTCCGGTGAATTACAGGCTCCCGGAGTTTGCTAAGTTCACTGGCCAAGATAGCACAAGCACAATAGAACATGTCAGTCGGTATCTTACACAGTTGGGCGAAGCATCCATTGAAGAGGCTCATCAAGTTCGTTTCTTCTTTTTGTCCCTATCAGGGCCAGCCTTCACTTGATTTTCATCACTGCCAGTTAACTCCATTGTCAATTGGGCTGACATAAAGAAGAAGTTTCATACATATTTTTATATTGGGACTGGAGAAAAGAAGATTACCGATTTGACGACCATAAGGCAGAGAACTAATGAATCGGACACCGAGTTTCTTCAGAGGTTCCGAGAGACTAGAAATTTGTGCTTCTCATTGAACTTGACCGATGATCAACTTGCTGCTTTGGCCGTTCAAGGAATGTTGCCAATGTGGAGAGAAAATCTGCTGGGACAAGAATTTGACAACTTAGGTCAGTTGGCTCAATGAGTGGCAGTGCTTAATAGCCAATTACAAAATATGCGCAGAGATACCCGATTACAGAAAAGTACCACAATGGTCGAAGAATATAATCCATACTCAGTCGATGACGACTATGAGGACTACGAAGAAGAAGAGGTTGCTGTGGCCGAATGAAATTGGGGTAAGAAGACAGTAATGGTGCTAAATCCTTGAGGAAGAGGAGTCGAAGAGAGCTATGACTTTGACGTCACAAAATCAGACAAGCTCTTCGATTTCGTGCTCGAGAAGGAACAGATCAAGTTGCCCGACAATCATGTTATATTGCCTCCCGATCAGTTGAAGAATAAAAAGTTCTGCAAATTTCACAACGCCACTTCTCATTCTACTAATGAGTGTAGAGTTTTCTGGCAGCATATACAGAGGGTTATTCAGCAAGGAAGGTTAAAATTTGATACGCCTCAAAAGATGAAAGTTGATGATAATCCTTTCCCTAGAGATCAGAACATGGTTGATGCTAGGTTGCTCAAAGGAAAGACTAAAGTTCTAACATCAACCAGATCAAAAGAAACCAGAACAGCCGATCCCGAGATGCAAATATCGATTGATGAATACAGAGAAATTAGAAGGCGTCGTGATCAACAAAAGAGCTGATATGAGCAGAGAGAGACGTCGAAGGATGGGGCGATAAGGCCACGTGTTACATCTCAAATTTTGTTGAACAAATGGCAGCAACAGAAGGAAAAGGATTATCAGTGTTGGTTAGAAGAGCAAGAAAACCAGTGTCAACAGGAAAAAGAGAGGCATAAAAGAAAGCAAGCTAAATCACATTGGAATTGTCCTTTCTTCAGACATTGCTGGAACAAAGGTTTAAAATTGCCTACCAGAAATAATTGTCCAAAATGCAGCGAGCAATATTGGGAGTTCAGGCAATCTCAAGCCAACCACCGGTTTATCCATGCTCAAAATGAGTATCATCATAATAACATGGATCGACGCCTAAAAAATAGAAGTGTTTATGATCGGCTAGGAAAGCGAGTTGTTGATCAAAACTAGGCTAATTATAAAGAAGAATATGTTTGGCAGGAAGGCCAATGGTGTCCAGGAGGTCTGACAAGAAGCCAGAAAAAAAGAGTGCAACGGCTAAGAAACAGAGAACTAGAATAGGATCAAGCATCTGGTAGACCTCAAGTGTGGCGTGTTAAGCGAACAGTTGATAGAAGGCAACCATCGGCTAATATTCAAATGGCTTTCCTGTTGCCATCAGAATTCAGAGCTCCAGCAGATCAAGAAGTTTACTCAGATTTTGATGAATCGGAGTATGAG